TTCATAACAGTAGCAAAATTACAGTTGTAGAGTAGCAACGAAAATAATTTTATGGTTGGGGGTCACCACAACATGAGGAACTGTATTAAGGGGTCGCAGCATTAGGAAGGTTGAGAATCACTGCTCTAAAGGATGTTATAAATGAAAAAGGAAATACAAATTATTTAGCATAGGACTTGGCATTTAGTAAAGGCTGAAGGCTTTTTTTTTTCCAGTTTCTTTATAATATGGTTTAATTTACCTACACATTTACAGGGACCCAGTAAATGTGGAATAAAGTGTCGTTAGTAAGGAACTCCTGAAATCAGCATGCCTGATTCTCATTACTGACCTTATTGTTTCAGGTATCAAATGCTAAGTTTGAAATTCAGACTCACCTTGATAGGCACGCCTTCTCTATAGGAAAAATGATGTTAAAAAGGCAACAAGAGTAATGCCTGCCTTATGCACAGACACACTTCATGCATGCTCACCTCTCTTTCTGCCCTTAGTGCAGCCTTTGTGCTTTAACCTGCCTGATTCACCATCTGCCTTCTCACAGACCCTCCCCAAGTTCCCACGCAGTTGGAAGACATCAGAGCCTTGCTTTCAGCCACTGGACCGAACTTTCCTTCGGTGCTGACGTCTCCCCTGGGAACACAGCTGGTCCTGGATCCTGGGAATTCCGCTCTCCTTGGTGAGTCCAACCCTCTGGAACATTGGGCAGAAATCCAGGGCTGGACAAGATTTATGGATGGGTGACTGCTTGCAGGTGGGAAGGAGGCAGCAGTGGGGGGGTGGGGGTGGGGGGTGGCCAACAGGAAATCACTAAATTGCCTACAGAATCCAGACTCACCAGTGGAAACTTGGCTGACTTTCCATATGAGGTGAGTGCAATTCTTAGTCTGGACTGTAGCTTGTCTAGATTCCAACGTGGCTCCTTCCTGAATCCTCTTAGGCTGATTCACAGTCCTGATCCTCTCAATCAGACTGACTCACTGAACAATGAATAAAGAACAGAGCTGTAAAGAACAGCTCCTGTGTCTCCTCTCTTCTTGCCAACCATACCCCAGTATTCCCCCATGACGCCCTTCCAAATAAACTAGGGCTATAATCAGCTTTCAAGGAGAAAGCTGAATTATCAGCATCCCCCAAAAGCCAGAGAATTTTAAATATTTAAGCCAGCCTTCTGTAGATAGGGTCTAAACCCAACCCAGACAAACTCTTCAAAAGCAAATGTTTAAATAACTTCAGGTACAACTTCTCTGGCATCTGTCATTGGGAACAGTCACCAAGTTAATGCCCGGATGGCTGGTGCCCCTGGTAGTTGAAAGTTGGACAAGGGCATCCAAGTCTTGGGGCCCTCACACTAGAATCATGGAGATGCCAGAGGAACCTCTGCATTCCCAACGTGACCTCTGGAGATGGTCAAGATGGAGGAGAAGAATTCTTATTCCATTAAAGGCCTAACAAAAATTGAGAAAACCTTCACGCTAACTCTATGTGGTCCCAAATGTTGGTAATGGCAGCTTGAATTATTCCTTTGGTTCCAAGTTAAAAGTTTCTCTACTCTCCTCCCCACCAACTAGCAAGGTCCAGGGGGCAATGAGTTCCCAGTCATACTGGCGACGACTTATCAACATGGCCACAGAGACTGATATCTTTAGGATTATAGCACAGAAAGATTACCTTCAATTTTCATTATCATCTGAAATTAGTAACAAATGCTCATAGCATATGGGCATACGGAAGAAGCTTCTGATTTCTCTATGTTTGATCTGGGTAAAACTAAGACACAGATATATTAATGAGTAGCGCTATTCTGTTTTTTATATATAAACTTGGCGTTGAGTTTTTCCACATGATGTTGATCAGAATTCATAGTAATTTCAAACTGCATGTTTTCTTTGGCTTATAAAAGGTAAACTTGTTCTAAATTAAATGTGTGCATTGTAAATAGATTCATCACTGTAAGAAATTGCCACAACTATTAACCAGAGCTCAGTCACTAGCAGGATGTACAGATTGTGTATTATTAACACCTTATTGGATATATCATTAGCAAATATCGTCTCCCATTCAGTAAGTTGCCTTTTTGTTTTGTTGATGGTTTCTTTCCTGTGAAAAAATTCTTTAGCTTGATATAATCTCATTTGTTTATTTTTTTTTCTTTTGTTTCCCTGGCCCAGAGATACATATCCAAGAAAATATTGCTAAAAGAGATGTCAAATAGTTTACTGACTATGTCTTCCTCTAGGAGTTTTATGGTTTCAGGTCTTACATTTAAGTCTTTAATTCATTTTGAGTATTCTTGTATATGATGTAAGAAAGTGATCCAATTTCATTCTTTTCCTTCTATCTGTCCAGTTTGTCCAGCACCATTTATTAAGGAGACTGTCTTTACCCCATTGTATATTCTTGTCTCCTTTGTCGTAGATTAATTGACCATGTAGGTATGGGTTTATTTCTGGGCTCTCTATTCTGTTCCATTGATCTATGTGTCTGTTTTGATACCAGTACTATTCTGTTTTGATTAATATAGTTTTGTAGTACAGTTTGGTATCAGATAGCATGATATCTCCAACTTTCTTCTTCTTTTTCAAGATGGTTTTGGCTGTTTGGAGTCTTTAGTGGTTCCATATAAATTTTAGGATTATTTGTTCTAGTTCTGTGAAAAATACCATTGGTATTTTGATGTGGATTGCATTAAATCTATAGATTGCTTTGGGTAGTATGCACATTTTAATGATGTTAATTCTTCCTAGCCATGAGCAAGGTATATGCTTCCATTTATTTGTATCTTGTTCAATTTCTTTCTTCAATGTCTTATAATTTTCTAAGTACAGTATATAAGTTTTTAACTCCTTGGTTAAATTTATTCCTAGGTATTTTATTATTTTTGATGCAGTTGTAAATGGGATTATTCTCTTAATTTCTCTTTTGATAGGTTGCAATTTTATACACCAATAATGAACTATTTCTCAACATGAATTCTGTATCCTGCTACATTACTTTATTTATTTATTAGTTCTAATTTTGGTGGAATCTTTCAGATTCTCTCTGTATAGTATCATATCATCTGCAAATAATTATAGTTGTATTATACTTCTTTCCAATTTGGATGGCTTTTATTTCTTTTCATTTTCTGATTACTGTGGCTAGGACTTCCAATATTACATTGAATAAAAGTGGTGAAAATGGACATCTTTGTCTTGTTCCTGATCTTAAAGAAAAAGCTTTCAGCTTTTCACCATTGAGTATGATGTTATTTATGGTTTTGTCATCTATAATCTTTATTATGTTGAGATATGTTCTGTCTGTCCCCATTTTGCTGAGAGTTTTAATCATAAATGGATGTTGGGTTTTGTTCAAGGCTTTTTCTACATCTAATGATATGATCATATGATATTTATCCCTCATTTTGTTTATGTGTTACATCATGTTAATTGATTTTCAGATATTGAACCATCCTTGAATCCCAGGAATAAATCCCACTTTATCATGGTGTATAATCTTTATAATGTATTGCTGAATTCGGTTTGCTAATATTTTGTTGAAGATTTTTGCATGTATGTTAATTGGGGATATTGGCCTATAATTTTCTCTTTTTTTTTTTCCGTAGTGTATTTGTCTGGTTTTGGTATCAAGGTAATGCTGGCCCTGTAAAATTAGTTTAGGTGCCTTCCCTCCTCTTCAGTTTTTTGGAATAATTTGAGAAGGATAGGTATTAATTCTTCATTTACTGTGTGGTAAAATTCACCTGTGAAGCCATCTCATCCAGGGCTTTTGTTTGTTGGGAGTTTTTATTACTGATTCTATTTCATTAGTAGTTATCAGTCTGTCATGTTCTCTGTTCCTTTCTGATTCAGTCTTGGAAGATTGTATGTTACTAAAACTTTATCTATTGCTTCCAGGTTTTCCAATTTGCTGGATATCATTATTCATAGTATTTTCTTATGATCCTTTGTATTTCTGGAGTGTGGGTTGTCACTTCTTTTTCATTTCTGATTTTATTTCTTTGGGCCCTCTTTTTTGCTTGATGAGTCTGGCTCAAGGTGTATAGATTTCATTTATCTTTTCAAAGAACCAGCTCTTGTTTTCATTGATTTTTTTTCTATGGTTGGTTTTTTTTTTCTCTATTTCATTTATTGCTGCCCTGATCCTTATTATTTTCTTTCTTCAATTCACTTCGGGCATTGTTTGTTTTTCTTTTCCTAGTTCATTTAGGTATAAGGTTAGAGTGTTTGAGATTTTTCTTGTTTCTTGAGGTAGGCCTTTATTGCTATGAAGTTCCCTCTTAGAACTGGTTTGGCTGTGTCCCATAGATTTTGGATGGTTGTGTTTTCATTTTTATTTGTCTCAAGGTATCTTGTGAATTATTCCTTGATTTCATTTCTAATCCAGTCATTGTTTAGTAGTATATTATTTAGCCTCCATGTGTTTGTGTGTTTTTCAGTTTTCTTGTAACTGATTTCTAGTTTCATACCATTGTGATCTGAGGAGATGCTTCATACGATTTCAGTCTTTTTAAATTTTTTGAGATTTATTTTGTGGTCTATCCTGGAAAAGGATAGTTCTATGCATACTTCTGAAAAATGTATATTCTGCTGCTTTTGGGTAAAATGTCCTAACAATATCAATTAAGTCCATCTGATCTAATGTGTCACTTAAGGCCACTATTTCTTTGTTGATTTTCTTTCTGGAAGATCTATCCATTTATGTCAATAGTGGTGTTAAATCTCCTACGATGACTAACTGTCCACCTCTCACTTTACGTCCATCAATATTTGCTTTATATATTTAGGTACTCGTATGTTGGGTGTATAGATGTTTACAAGAGTTAAGTCCTCATGTTGGAATGATCTTTTTGTCCTTATGAAATGCTCTAATTTGTCTCGTTACAACCCTTGTTTTAAATTCTATTTTGTCTGATATAAGTACTGCTATACCAGCTTTTTTGTTTTTGTTACCATTTGCATTACATCTCTTTTTCCATCCCTTTGCTTTCAGTCTATGTGTCTTTCGATATGAAGTGTATCTCTTGGAGGCAGCATTATGTATGTTTGGTTTTTTGGGGTTTTGGGGGGGGGGGTTTGCGTTCAACCACGCTCTTTTAATTGGAGCATTTAGTCCATTCACATTTAAAGTAATTATTCCAAGGTATGTTGTTATTGCCATTTTATTAATTGTTTCTGATTGTTTTTGTAGTTCTTTTCTATTCCTTTCTCATTCTTTTGCTCTCTTCTATTGTATGTTGACAACTTTCTATGATATAGTATTTGGATTCCTTTCTCTTTATTTCTTGTATGTATCTTGTAGATTTTTGGTCCATGTCTACCATATGCTCCCTGTATACCAAGCTATGTTTATAGCAGTCTATTTTAAGTTTATGTTCACTTAAATTTGAACACATTCTAAAATCACTACAATTTTTACTCACATTCTATTTATTTTTGTCATTATTTTTTACTTCTTGTGTGTGTGTGTGTATCCTTTAATTTATTGTTTTAATTAAACATGATCTTCCTACTTTTGACTTTTAACCTTTTTACTAGCTTTATAGTTGGTTGATCCACTGCTTTAACTGTTTGCCTTTATCAGTAAGAATTTTTTTTCTTTTCTATATTTTCTTATTCATACTTTTTTTTATTTTTTTCTTCTTAAATAAGAAACATGCATCAATAGTACATTTCTTTT